AAACTCGTATTGCCTTTAATTAGAGAACTTAATTCCTAAGAGACGGAGTTGCATATTTCACAGTTATAAATACAAAGTGTCATCATACACCACGACACAGTATGAAGCGCGGGCGCCACATCAAGTCAGTCATGCAAATGCTTCGCCAGCATAATAGCGACGCACTGCGGCCAAAAAACTCTAATTGCGTCCCAAACCGGTCATGAGTTATGAAGATTCCGACTAACAAGCTAAATCAATCAAATTATAGCGATACATTCATTTTAATATCAAAAAGGAAGCCGTCCACTGATATTATCTGAAGCTCGTGAATTTAATAAGCTGAACTTGTTTTCCTTGGTTTAAACGAAGGGAAAACCATTTTGATTTTTATGAATGACGTCTTATTTCGTGTGAAATCGGTCGTGAATGTTGTCGTCGTTACAATGTCTGTTTTCCTAGACGGAACATGAACTTAAAAATTTATTTCGAATCGTTATGCTGATTCGTTCTGCGAATTTTACGCTATTCCAAACCAATGGGGAGCAATAAACATCTGCCAGAAACAAAAAAGAGTAAATGAGATTTAGTTCGTTCAACTTTCCTCGGGATTTATCTAGTGTTACATCGACGGGCGATAATGACTTATAGAATAAATACATTATTGTGCCAAGGATATCCGTAGACGGGCGTATAATAGGCCATTTTATTATAATCAACAGCGCTGCTTACCTCGGAAAAAACTTGTATTGTGTTATATGTAGGGAGCTCTTCAGACATGCGCAGAATAAGTAAGATCTATTGCCATGATCTATATTTATATTGATCGTAAGATGTGTAAGGTGGGAGTAGTGTTATTAAGGGGACAATTTAGATATAAATCATTATATTATATGTATGAAACGATTATATTACATTAAGCTCTACATTCGTGGTAATTTTAAGAAATTATAAATTTTACACACAATTTATAAGTCTTTTGAAACTGCAAATTCAAGAAAATTTCTGACGCATACATATGCATCTTATCCGGCATTAAATTGTTAGCATTTTTTGAGAGCTGTTATATTTTCTAGATTAGAACTTTGTGGTAATTTAGATACCTAAACATTAGTAGAGCCTACCTTACGATTTCCGTATTTTTTGCAGATCATAAATGATTTTGTAATGACCAAAATGTCATTAGGGTCTAAGCCTTAGAGTAACTGTTAGTCGTTAAACTTTAAACAATTTCACGATCGTGAGAAAGAATCAGATGACACAGATTTCATCGTGACTTCCTTTATATGGGAGATCTTAAATGCACTTTTTTGTTTTCACGGGCAAAGTTCAAATTGTGATCTTTACCTGTACTGGAATAAGTTTTTGTTGTTTTTTCACGGACTAATAAAAGGAAGACATAGATAGAGGTTAAGTAAATACATTTAAAAACAACAACTCAGATCAGATTTGAAACCAACCGAAACCACATTCTCCTCCTCAAAACTACTTCACTTTAGAAACTAAAGCAATAATCCTTGTATTACACTAAAAAATATTGCAGAATTTAATAAATAAATTAAGCATGGGACCGCACATTTTAAAAGCTAATTTCCTATAGATAAGTACGGCTTAAATCGTTAGAAAACCCCGAGAATCCCACGGGAAATAAGAAAAACTGCGGGCAGGCCGCGGAACGATCGGCGAGCAGGTAATAATTTGATTAAGTAATGGAAATTGTGCAAATAAGTAGCGAACCGCGCCAATCATGCAATTTAGTTACGGATTCACTTGTACGCGGTACAGCACTAGAGGTGCGATCTCTCATGTCCTTCTTTTTGTCTTTTGTTCCGAGCTAGCCACGCGATGCATTTATTTTTAGATCCCCCAGGGGTCAGAAAAAATACTTGCGTACGGATTAAAATACATAATAGGTCTACGGTCCGCAGTCACCGAGAATAAAGGCTTAATTGTGCCCGTGAAAAAGGAGAACTTTCAAGAATATTTTATAAGGATAGTAACCACAATTTATTTCTTTTAGACTTAGTTTTATATTTATTGGAATGGATAATGTGTTTTTATTGTAATACTTTCGATTCGCCTCCGCATCAACGATATTATTTGAAATTGCGACCGCAACTTTATTTATTATAATCGCTAGGATTTGGTCGGTGTAGACTACCACAAATCTATATTAAATCATGGTCGAGACAGCACACTAGCTTAATGTGGACAATCGGTTTTAAGAACATTGCAAATTATGATCCGAAAGAATTCTGGGGTATACGAATGGGCACACAGTCACTCAAAGTTTCAATATCTAGACAAAATTTAGCATCTAAATAAAATTGACTAATAAAAATTGAGAATAAAGAGAGCTGCTAGCTATTTAAATGTCTTTCGATTAAGATTAAAAAGAAATAGGAAAGGGCTTAGCTACGAAGTTACCAACTATTGTACAGAGTGAGAGTCATAAATTACAAACTTATAGGGAATATTATAGGAAAGACCGATGTAAAAAGTTATTAAGTCGCAAAGGTCTCTCTGCTCGTAAATGTCTAGAAAAGAATTCAATACAGCTACCGAACAAGAACCTACTTAAGGTTAGTCAAGACAGGGATTCTTTAAAGACATTTACGTGCCGTAAAACATTTTCAAATATCGAACGTTATGCTCTTACCAAACACGACAAAGTTTATAGCTACATATAAAACAGCACGAGGACGTGGGCTGGATGCAACGACTACAACTGCCATGATATAGTTCGCAGTATTAGATGGCCTACAGAGGAGAGTTGCTACACTCCAAAATAAACTATCAAGTTTAGCTGACGCAGGTATGTAGTGTAAGTACATTCGTGCATGAGTCATCAAGAACACTAAACTTTATATGTGAAGATTCAGATCGTAATGGATAATTTAATAGTACGGTCTATGTAAATGCTGGACCACTAGCGACGTGCACCCAGCATAATGATCGGGCAATATTCCCAATGTTATTCAGGGACGTCAGGCTAAGGGGACCGTCTACGTAATATTTTATTTTTAGTGTTCATTGCTATTGCGGTTCACTATTACCTACGCGGTTATTTTTAAAACGGGGCATTTAAACGATAGCGGGAGCATTTTTATCGTAATCGTGGTAATCAGAGTAGTCGGCGACGACCACCTCAGGCGCAGTCATCGCACGCAACTCGAAAACATTAGAATAATCACAACGTTGACGGATGCTATGATTGAAGACTGACGACACTATTACGTTATTGGTCTGTATAGTATTATAAAGAGCACAATTTCTATTATTTCTGCTTTACAGAAACTTGCTACTAACACCTCAAAGCAATGTATGGAAAGTGACGGTGTTCCGTTAAAGTTTAAATTTTTTCACGAGATAATTTCTAGTCTTATTCAAGTAGACAAGATACTATAAATATTTTAGTAGGAAACAAAAATAAAATTTGGTTCGAGATTGATACTAATGGTATTAATGAACGTCGTGTCGCTAGGCCAGCGCATGGCGATCGCGCATTGTGAATGGCGCATAAGTAGTTTTGTTTGAGCGGCATGTGCGGTCTATTACTACCATTATTCAAAACATCGGAGTCATGCTCCCGTTCAATTAAATACTCCCCGAAGCGAAGTAACATCTTCGGATCAAAAAACATTGTATCGCTCGAATCTTCAACATTTTTTTTTCATATTGCTGCTATTAAAGTAATAATACCTTCATATTTTTTTATGAAAATAAAACCGTGAATTTTATTTTATCGACTGGAATCGCTCTCGAATGTAATTCATCGGATGTAAAACAATACTGATAGGTATCTCTTGAATGCGATAAAAAAGAAATTTCAAAAGTGATTCTGCAAGCTGTAGGCTCTAGGGCAATTCTTTGCGGGATCATTTAAGTGCTGTGTCTTGTATGAGATGAATATTTAAATATCAAAGTTTATTTTTTGGCCTAGATTTTATTATTCGAGCAAATGTTGGCAATGTTCAGGTTATAATATGTATGTAGGTAGGTACACATAGGAATAGTATTTGTATGGTATGGCAATGTCAAAGCTGGGAGGGCCGCATGGCGTGCAAAGCAAATAGCGTCCCACCAATTAACGTGGCTTTCAAAGCAACATATTTAAAGTGGTGAAGCTGCGGCGGCGGCTTTCAAGTGCTCCGCGTCTCCCTCATTTGCTTTTATTTCAGCAAAGATCTAATATTGAACTCAACGTAGGTTTGTTTATGTCCAGTGCAAGGTCAAATAAACACTTAATTAATATCTTTCAACGTTCTTTTATGGAAATACCTTCGCCTCCAAGTCGCGCATTATATATGCATGCAAAGCTTTAAGTTCTTTAATGGTTACAATATGAATAAAATAAACAAAATGATTGAAAAAATATGTTTTCACCTTATATACTCCTACTACCCCGATATACTTTATAGGAATAAAATATAATTTGAAAAACTGCGTGATCTGTGGAATGACACCACTTCAGATGTTTGGACTCATGCTTAATTTGTTTTTAGTTTGTGATGCTAAATGGTCTTAATAGGTATTCTCTCAATAGTTGTAGGTGGATTCCGTGTGGTCGATCTTCAATGGAAGATATAACAAAGGCACACCCTTGAAAGGCTCCGCCTTTAGGTCGTGAGCAGAGAAAAAACTACGACAACGTCGACAACCCTTTGGACAAGCGAAGAATTCGCGTCGACCGCAACAAGAACAAATTGAGCGCGAACTATTGTGCGGTACGATTTGCCGAGATAACTCCCGTGTCGAGGCGCGCGGGCGCCGCCAAGCCGAGCGTCCGCCTGCCGCCGGACATCCGTGGCTGACGACACCGCACCACCGGTGCCGTTCATCCAATCTACGGATCTGCTACATTGCTGGGTTGCTATGTCCCTGTTGGAGTGTCTTGTGGGCGAAGATGTATTGGATGCGTGACTAGAGTTTGCGGTCGCAATAGCGGTCCCATGCGGTGGTGCGCGCGGGACGCATCTGTGTTATAAGGGGGGGTCCCGGGCAGCGCGCGTTCAGTGTGCCCCGAGTGTCCCGTGTAGCGCGTGTGCACTCCTGAGTGTGCTCAGATCGCTTCCCCGCTGATATCGTTCGACTCAATCAACATGCAGCTCGTTTTGGCCACCTGCTTTTTGCTGTTCGCAGCCACCCTCGGTCCCGCGGCTGGTATGTCATACAGTTTCATATGTTTAATTTAGTGCAAAAACTAACATACTCTATTAACATTTTTAGATTATTATATTGACTTGTGTATTAGTATACTTAAGCCGTCCCATTCTCTAAATGTTATTAAGAAGTTCCCAAACTGTTTAAAATTTCGCAAATTAAAAAAGAATAGTTTGGTCAAGAGTTCTAAGTAGTCTTATCACAATTATTAAATCCATACTAAGATATATGTTATGAAATTATTGGCATTATTTGTGAAATTAACGAAGCCCGCACAGGACATCATAGCGTGTCGGAGTCACCTCAAAAATTGTCGTTAATTTAACGTTTCAATTGTGTTGTTATTAGTGTGGCGCGGTTCAGTAGTGCGACACTGGAGCAATACTCTAAAGAATATACATAAATAACACAATACATGTATCTAGTTTGTTATATTTTCTAAATTAAAAATATATTTTCGAACCCAAAAATTACCAAAATCCAACATACGAGTATGTACGTTATGTTCATAATTTCACGAAAATAATCAAAATTGCTCACATTCCACCAGTTTCGTATAAGAAAATTTAATATAATATATCTAGCCATAAAGTTACTCAAAGTGGTAATAACTTATGTAAGAGCTACAATAGCATGGCGTGGTGGAAGCAAGGTGGTTGCTGTGACCTACGGGTCTTCGACCTTCATTGTTCGAGTTTCATTAGAGTACAATAGCTAGTCTACCAACTACTCTTTCTTACTTCGATATTATTTAATACCTTAAGAATAATTTATTTACTCTTCGTTTTTGGCAGAAAAGTTACTATAGAGTTTAAAATAATTAAACCTTTACCCCTTATTACAAATCAAGGTTTATCTTTAGTCCAGGTTTAAACCATTGAGTCGGGTTTTGAATTTTGAATCTTATTGTCATCGACCTTCAATTCGAAATACGAAAACTGGCTCAATGGTTTAGTCCTAGACTAAAGTAAAACCTTGTTTTGTAATAAGGCCGTTAAAGTTTAAACAATCAGGCAGAAAATAGCGAGAGCTAAGGAGCTAGATCTTGGGCACACCAAAAATGCTAAAAAGTAATTGTTCATGTTCTACAGCTTGTTACACGCAATAAAATTCTTATAATCCGTCGTAGCTGGTGGTTAATATCAACAAAGCTTACGGCACAGAGGCGAGCTGTAAAGCCGGGAGCACATTGCCGTGTTTTGCGTGTTGACTCAAGTGCGCCTGCGACGGTACGCACACACGCATACCACCTGAACAATGCGACACTGCAATCGCGGGTACCATGTTCCTGTCATAAGTGTACCGACCCAATGTATTAGAAAGGGCACGCTATGAGAACCAGCTTTAATTGTAAGAACTATATGTAAGCATAGATAAACGTCGAGGCTTATTTCATTCCAGCAAAAACAATTTCCTCAAGTTTATTTATTCATTTAAATAAGAATTAAAGCGAAATTGAGTATAATGGAAACTTGTTCAGAGAAGTTTATCAAATCATAAAAACAAATGTAAGGTTCTGCGTAAAACTGCTAAGCGCATCGCTGTCAGTAGCAGTTCTCGGAAGGATTTTTTATCTCAAGTCAATGACTCTTGTCATCGTAGAAACATTTATAAGAATGCAGCGAATTACCGCATCTGAGATGTTTATGCTAGCTGAGAGTCTGTGAGAAAAGCGGTCGATTTAAACCAATCAACATTGTAGGGAGTGATTCCGCTAATGAGGCGTGTCCGCAGCTATCGGACAGGTTATCGACAGGTCGGCAAAAACTCTTCGACGGAAGTCGGTGTTGGGAAAAAATAGTGCGGGGATGCGGAGGGAGCGGCGACAGGTGCGGGGTTCATCGGCCCTCGCCTAGCCGCCGCGTGGCCAGGACATCTAGCGTTGCAGTTCCATGGAATAATATTATGGTGCGCCGCGAGCCCGCCTCCCCCAGTACTTGCAGCGCCCGCACCGGTACCGTAAATGACTCCAGATTATACACAGATAGTCGCCAGCACCGTCCGGCTCATACATTTTCTTAATCTGTATCGATGACTCGCATTATTATCCGTATCGAATCCAAAGATTGTTACAGATATACGTACCTACCCGTTACCAAATATTTTTATGACCACCGAGACTAATCTATTTACTATTTATTATCCTTATTTGAAAATATTATATTTCAATATATATCGTTCATCTACAGATTCAGAAGGGTTGTTTTAAAAAAATATTATGAGGTATTTAATTTTGTAAAAGTTAGAAAATTAAATTTGGGGTAGGTATTATTCTAATTGACTAACAATTGAGTCGTGTAGTAAGTGTATATATAATTAGGTATATTTGCTGTTTTGAGTCTTTGGCTCTGCCTTTATATGTAGGGCATTGTCTTTTGTATAAACATGGAAAATTATTGTTATAATTAACATTTCTGGGAAATAGTTCGCCAATGTATTATCTAAATACTTGAGAATAGTTTAATAATATTAATTTATAAGCACAAGCATAATGTAAGAAACTAATCACATTTACATTCGGTGCGTGTATAATATAAATCATACTTTCAGTGCATTAGGGTTAATCCTCATAAGTTGGATGCCGAAAGGCCAAGCGATATTTTGTATTTTTTGTCACTGTAATGTAGTGCGGCCGCAGCTCCAGGTGGTACGATTATATCAAATTACTTATCGGACGTGAGCTTTGGTAACTCAAAGAAAAAGTAATTTAGAGGTTTAGTCACCCAACGTTTCAGCAAAAAACTAGCTGCCGATGCCGATACTATTTCTTGCTTGCTATGTTGATGGTTTTTGTTTTGTCCAATGTTTTTGTAATTGCAAGATAGTAGTGGGCTCGTTAGCAATATAATTTCAGTGGAATCGCTAGTGTTAGCGGACATTTGTTTGTCTCGTTGGCTGGCCGCCGGGACCAGGACCGGGTCGGCATCGGGTTTGATTACTAAAAATAGTCTGGTAGGTGCATTCCGAAGCGGGCGCGAGAGAGGAGTCGCGCGCGCCGTCCTTGGGCTCGTCTCTTGCGCATCGTTCGCCATTATCTCGGTCCCTTTTTTGCCTTCCGATCGTTATCCGACCACGAACAACTCGATCGATGTTCCCACGCACCATGCCAATCAAATAATTTTGATAGACACCCAAATTGCTGTTTTTACTAAACATTAATTTAGAATCTGTAATTTGTTAACTGATAACTACTTTGTGGCTTCAGGTGTTCAGACTCTGACTCAGAAATTGATAATAAGGTTTGACGTAAATCAATTTTCCGTGTGGAGTTCAACGACATAACGAGTGTTGTTTCATCTATGCTGTGTAGTCTATCACGATGTAATGTTCTCAGAGTTTATCTAATCGAAGACGGGACTTTACAATATCCGATAAAGGTATAATATTTAACATTGAACTTGGCACGGCCGTGAAATATAAGTCGTGTAATGCATGGAGTAGATGGAGCGTGCGCCGCGAGGGCCGGGTGGTTGCGCTCGATCCGCCAACTGGTTCGCGTTATGTAATGCATTGCATTGGGCACACGCACGCATTGAGCCGCGCGCCGCCGCTGCACCGCCGCCGCCGGCGCCAACGGTTTGCGGTTACACGATTACACAGCTTTTAATCAACGTTTAAGTGATAGAAGATCTGCCTTTGAGATGAGCTTTTTTCAAAAACTTCAATGTTCGCTGGTTTTTTTAATTTACCTCGTAAACAACTTGATAGTAACGTTAGCTTCACGCTTATTTACTTAATACGAAAGTTTACGATGTCGTAAAATTTTGAAGGTAATATGATATTTTACGTTACTCGGAATATAGAGTCGTGTACCTGATCCGTTTGGGGGATGAAGGCTATTAAACTATTCAAATGTCTTTATAATTCTACCCAAAATTCATTTTTATAAGAAATGTGATATTTTATGTTCCTGAGATTAAAATTCTTGGAGACACATTAGTAGTATCCTCCCAATTTTTTTAAGTCGTGTATATATTCCACCCTCGGATTGGGAAAAAAGGCAGTTAAAACATTAGGAGACATTTTGTACATTCTCGCTTTAATATTCTGTATCAGTTCTTATGAGGGTTTAAGTAAGCCATAACCTGCATATTGGGTACCTAGAGGCATAAAGGCATTATACCTAGCATGTTTTTATCCAATTAATTCATTAACTTAATAAACATGTGGCCATAAAACTAAGAGGTAGTCATATCCCGTGTGTCCGTCCGTCCGTTAGAATATGATTAACTTTTCTGCTTTAAAGTGGCAACGTCCTATGTGGACGGGATAGGTGTTATTTTTAGAAACTGATAATGCATAATTTGCAACCGTCTTTTAACCGGTTTTAACTGGTTTCAGTTCTGTATCGAGTGATATGGAATATGGAATGAAAACTGTGCTTTTAAAGGAAAATTCTAGGTATAATTATTTACTGTGGGTTTCATTCCTGTTTGCTGACTATGAATTATAACAGGTTTTCTGTTTCCTAACTAACATCTTGTTTAGGATATGACTAGTTATGGTAAAGTTTTGATGAATTCATACAAGCAAGAATAAACCACGACACAGTAATTAATTATCTAATGGAAATTAGTTTCCCGGTAGTTGGAAGTGCAATTTTCTTCTGACGTAAAAAGTATGACTATTTTCTAATGTTAATTATACGACCTTTTGCGGGATTCCATGAATGCATAAGTAATTGTAATTGCGGTGTCAGAGAAGGGCGCAAAAATGATCAATTCCCCGTAAAGAACACTCCTGCTGAGCTCGCTCGAGCGTATAAAGCTTTTTATTCATGAATTGCAAATGCCCGTTTGTTAGAAAAGCAATTAATTATTTCTTCAAAGGTCTATCCTGTACCTTTGGCATTATAGTTCTACTATTTAATGGAGAGTATTTCATAATCATTACTTGAGCTGATACAGATCAATTCTTATCGGGTTTTTTATTGATTTGACTTAAATACAATTTAATTTATAGAGAATTTTACTAAAATACATTATCGAATCTTCAAAATTTAAATCAATAAATATGACGATGGATTCTTTTTTTATTAAACGCATGTTACACGAGTACCAATGAATGAAAGGAAGTTGTTATTATTACATGAGACGTGAGATTCTTCCACAAGATAGCCCGTAAACGAATTTTAATGAGACACTAGCATAAGGATCGTGGAGAGATACTAAAAATATGGCGTGGATCGCGCTTTGTATGCGGCCGCGCACGCGACGGTTACTCGGTTACATCTGCCAACTTCCGACTGCTGATAGGTGATTGAGTAACGATATCCGCGATATCATGTAGACGTACTCAGAATACATTACGAACAACATGTAAACGTTAAGATGCTCATTTTAAATCTTATCAAAAAGAGTGTGAAGTCTCTATAAACTTGAAGTTTACAGCAATATTCAGGTTTCCAAAAAAAGCTTTTATTACGATGCATTTATCTTAAATTTCGTCCTTCCCAGATATACAGCTTTTCAGAGAATTCTCTGGCAAGATCAAATTGATAACCTAGGTTTTGGAACATTTTTTGTTGCAGTGCAGTCTTTGTTATGACCTTAAGTGATAGCCGTACGGTATCTTCAGAGACTTGTGTTTAAGTTTGCCGACTAAAATATGCTATCGCGATTCGCGATCAGTAAAGAGTCGGCAAGTACAAATCGCGATGTTAGTTTGCGATTGCGCAGCGCATCGCCCGCCTGACATTTGCGACGAGGTTTTGGACAGTGGTCCGTTAACGTCCGGTGGATGAGCTCGCCGGATATCCACGCAACGCAAGCAAAGCAAGTCCACTCACCCCTACATTAGGGGTGTCACAAAGCTAATAACTTAGTTAATGTAGTCTAAAAAGGTATTAAAATTATAAATCCTGGTCTAATTTTAGAGTGCTCAGTAATTTGTATGTAGAAAATGCATTGATTACATGGTATAAGGAAGTGGCCAATCGACAGCCCTGGTGAGGTCGCATTGTCGAGCCAACAAAACTAGCGCCTTACTTTATGGAACAGTGCCATCCTCGTCTTGGTGGTACCAACGACGGAACGTGGACGGGACGGGAGTGCCGATGCTCTTCATCAGTATGCGGCGCGCGCGCATGACTCACGCGACGTGACCCGCCTCCCCGACGTTCATTGTTGCTCGTGTACACTCGTCTCGCTGTCAGCTCGCACTTTCTAAACGTCCCTAGCTGTCTCGCCTTTTATGTCCATATATCGCTTTGTAATTATTGTGATCGAGGATTGAATAGGTTTATTAATGCCTTAATACAAAATCCAGGTTTATACCTCAAGTCATAACAATATACTGTAGGAAACATACAGACCACCACCTTCAAAGATCATGACTTGAACTATGTAACGTACGGTGAGAAGAATAGCAACAAAGTAGTAAACAAAGATAAATTGCTACAGCTATTACAGTGACTGCAGAATGCGGCATTCATCAAGGAAATGCTTGAACAAGAAGTAAAAGCGAAGTAAGCAAGTAATGCGCGACATCGTTTATGCATGAGGTTACATTATGCATGGATTCCAATAGCAGACTCAGGACCTCTAATAACAGCAAAGCTGAGTTGTAGAACCCAAGTTTCTTAACAACGTACACAATATACCATTGAGTTTCTCAATAAACTGTAGGAAAGCAATAAGGATATTTACGGTCTTGTGTCCGCATACATTTCCGCGTACTTTTACATTTTAGTGTAGGATTATTTTACATTTTACATGCTTTTTAAAACGGTATGATAAAGCTCATTTATAAATGTCAATTCATTTTCTGCTATCTAAATATTTATCATGTAAAATAATGTAGCCGTTTAAACCAAGACACCTTTTATAATGTGGTTAACGCGGGTGGATAAATCCGCCGGTATCTCCGCCAGTCTTCGTGAGAACAAGTGACAAGGCGTCTATCAATCTAAGACCGATTAATGGTATACCATTACAACTAGTATGTTAATCAGCGATGTGATGTGAGAGTCTGTTCTCTTACGGTGCAATGCAAAACAGGATACATTTAATTAAGTATTAATAATCACGTCGTCAACGGTTGAATAAAGCGTGGCTTGTCCACGACATGTTAATCTTCGTTTTCTTCGTGGATTGTTCACGATGAGCTCACAATTGCACTTCGCGGGATACGGCACGACAAACTCCATATACCTACATTTACTTATAGAAGGCCATCTGAATGCTATGTCGTTACTTTCTTAAGAAAACAAAATCTTGTTTTTGTTTGTAGGCAAGGAGTCGTGGTCTTGTTTAATATGGTCGTGGTTGTAAAGATGCAGTCCGGAGTATTTCGTGCTCGGTCGAGCGTGAGATTCGCGTCGATGCTTCTTAGAGTGGATGACACTGCAGTTTTAATCTATTATCGTGGAGTATTGACCGGCATCTACACTTTGCGCATTTAGTTAAACTTCGCCAGCAAGAACACTCTGAATTTGTTTCAGATTAATTTTAGACTTATTAAATTATATTATAATCAGATACCTAAGTTTTTGTTGTGATACCAAATTCAATTCATTCAAAATTTGATGGCCCAGTCACCGCAGTAAAGTCTACTCTTCAGTAGTCAGTGTTACGAGTATATAGTTTAAACAGACAAATGTCTTTTTTTATTTAATTTGTTTTATCCAAGAATTTAAACTAATTAAGACATATACAGAGCATTGAATATCGAACCAAATTAGGAAGTAATAAAATTTTGCGGTCAACCGCAAGAAGTGGACATTGAATTAATTATGGTGGTGGAACGCAGCGGGGGTCCAACCGCAAAACACTTTATCCTGTATGTGATGCACGTCTCTGCATTATACTGCAATCGTAGTACGAAAATGACGTGCAAAACTGCGAACTTTATAACAAAGAAGTACAGACATCGCGACCAACATATTAAGTGGTGAAAAGAGGTGTGGGAATACATTAGTGAACAATATAGCTCCGGACATGACCACGTCAAGTAAATGTACAGTCAACGAGGGATAAAATAGCATCGCTATAACGAACCTTAAGAAATGCTCTTATGATAATCTGGATGGGTATAGTGTCAATGCCAAAGCATGTGACGTGCGATGTAAATCGCGCGGTAATGCAGCCGAGCTGCGCGGGCGTCTCATAACCGTCGCATTAAAGCAATGAATGAACAGAATGAGGGGAGCGCCATTATTCCGGCTATATTCATTTTGTGTCAGGTCCATTGTCACTTATCTTACTCAGAACTGAATACTAAGAAAACTGAGAAAGGCTTTGGACGCAGAAAAGTTTCTTCTCGCTGTCTTTCAAATTATAATTCCTTACTTACTTATTTTTGTCCGAGATGTCATCCTCAAAATTAACTGTACTAAATGTTACTTGTGAAATGTTTAATAAGATTGTGTTTCCTGTTGTTTCAGCTCAAAGGATAACAACTATACAACTGGATGGCGTGCAGTACTTTATCTCAAGGATGAACCCATACAGCCCGGAACTCAACTATTTCCTCGCTTACCAGTACTGCAGGTATGTTGCAATCTTTCATATTATTCTATAGTCGGAGTCCAGAGCAAGATTTGCATCTCCCGAGGCATTTTCTCGTGAGATAAATATTCTTTTATCGTGACTCTGTATTTTCTTATCTTGTGCGTCGTGTTCTTCTAGTTCAAATACTTCTAACATGGTGGTTGGATGTTGTAGCGTTAGCAGGCGCCTAGGCTCGACGCTTTAACCACCAGGAAGTACAGGGTCATTTACATTACCGTTACAATGTTCAGAGGAACGTCGAGAACAATATTGGTATTGCAATTATACAAAAAAGATTTGCAAACGAATTGCAATATTCGTTACTATGATGGATGTTTTTTTAATCACATCATATAGGTTATTTTGTTGGCATTTAGCGCATAGGTAAACTAATTAGGCTAGCAACTTTTTTAAAGGCTTGGTTCTTGACATACTTAATATTAAAGGCAAAAACGGCATTTTATTATTAGCTATTAATTCATTATATTTCTTAAAACAACGTCTCACGTCTATGAACTAACCTAAACGCTCCATCAATACACTTCGAAACCGAGCACGTCTTTAGAATCTATTTCCTCTATAGTCTGATAAATTATTAGTTTGTAGGTCCCGTTACACCATTTCTATGAAATAACGATTTCCTATATGCGAAAATGATTCCATTTGTTTGAAAATGGTATTGTGCCGCAAGCACCACTAGATAGGTACCATATACCGCGATCTAGATCCCACCACGTGCATTCTCAAATTGCTTGAGAGGTAGGTAGCCTCGTAGTTCGGTCACGATGTCCTTCCAACGCGTCGCTGTCACGACCTATTTACGGTTTCAATTGTTAATGATGGTGTAGCTCGACCCATAATATCCGTATCGTTAAATAAACGGAATCTATAGGGAAAATAATGTAACTGGTAAATCGATTAAGGTCACGGGAAACTCGTTGTAAAATATGACTCGAATTCGCAGCGTGACAGGCGTGACGAGATGCAGTTCAGGAGCAGGTGCTGCGTGACGACAAGTTTTATGGTGATGCGTCTCGGTCGCAATAACACCGGACCCGTGGATAATTTACAAACTGCTGAGACCCGTGTTACGGTTCGCTTTGATCGCGATGACAAAAAGATACTAACGGTACTAATATGACGAGGACGCGTGATTGTCGTCGATTTTTTGCTGCACAATGCTAAATAAATGACAACAGAAAAATAAAATGCGAAGTTAATACTGAAAACAGAGCTGTGATAAAAAGTTAATAGAAAACATGAAATTTCAATATCAGAAGTATGAAAAGCAACTTGTATCAAAGTGCATGAGGACAGTTAAGGATAAAAATAAATTTTATTTATAAATGACCAATTTAAAAACTCGTTTCGTTGAGATCCAAAACGAGATGGGGCAAAAAGAAATATGGCACTAAAATATGCTGAAGGTGCTTAATGGACTTGGGCAAATATTTAGCAGTAAGTCCATGATGAATTCAAGCACAGTATAATTTATGACGTTTAAATTTGCAATAAAAAGTTATGAGTTGAAACGTGTTTTGCTCTTCAATGGTTGAACGTCTTTTGGGAGAGGTTGTGAAATTTCATTGATGGTATAATTTTATTGCATTGCTAATAATTATTTTACTAACCTTAACTGTTTCAACAATTTCCTAAAGCCGTTTGTTGTAAATCGTGGATAATATTTTAACTGTAAAAATCCGTGTGACTTTGTGCACAATAATTGCAATCGATTACCACAATTTCCTCTAATAAACCATAAATTCCCGTGCGCAGCGATTAACGACGACCATCCTGCTTCAACTTACGTGTTTCTTTTCAATTTACAACCTAGAGAAATTAAAATAGCGTTCGACTCGTTACAATTAAAAAATACTTGGAATATCACTGCCGCGGTACAGAGAACCTTTAATAGAGCTTTTACCCTACAGTAGCATGATGTCGTAGAGGTTTTTAATCTCTCAGAGTTTTCTGAACTTAGACTTGGAATGTGGTCCCATCGTGGCAAGGCCGTGGCCTGAACAGCTTGTCTTTAGCGAATAAATTGCATCTCGATAAACAGGCTTTGGTGCAACTTGTATTCTGTTCGAGCTAATAGCTGAATACGATTAGCAGCAACGATAGTATTCTCCACGATAGTTATTTAGCGGAATAGCATTATGGTTAGCACATGTTAATAGTGTTGCCATGAAGTCACGTCTCATGCGGAACAAATTAAAGTTTGATATTTTGATCATCGTTCGTCGATGTTATCAAAAGGAGATATTTATTAATTATTAAGATGTCTGAAGCGTCGCATGCATCGTAAAGAGAATGACTCAGTCTCAATAAATGTTTATCGTTCATTTTACTTTTGCCTTAACTACAGTATATGTAGTTTATAAGTTTATATTATTTCAAATTGAAATCTCTTTGTTATCTTCTGAAGACTTGAAAACTTAACATTTAACACAAATGTATTTTTTTTGCAGATCATTAGGCTTGCAGCTTGCGTCTTTTGAAACAAAGGAAAAGGCTGACTCCATAACGACATACCTGACGAATGCTGGTAAGAGGCCTTATTCAAGTGTGATCATATTGTTTTGTGTTTCAGTTTCTCCTTAGAATTTATTTAAATGTACGCATTTAATTTCCAGGGTACAATAAATACGACTTCTGGACATCAGGAAACAATTTAGGCACGGATATGTATCTGTGGATGAGCACAGGACTGCCGTTTAACGCCACTTTCAACTACATGCGAAGGCTACCAATGGACGCGCCCAGCCAGCACACGGACGACAGTATTGACCCTCTAGATGTACCGCAGGGCAGCACCGCGCCCCAACGCACCGCTAGACACGGGTACGTTGTTTTCTATAGTACAAACCAATGAAGTTACTAGAAAAGATCATTTCTAATTTACATTTTCATAGGACCCGATTTCAATCATTTCAATAAGCCCCATGGTTCCCATGTTAGGAAGTCGACAATTTCATAAAAGTTTTCTTGAAAATTGCTGGTTACGCGCTTTTCCCACGATACGCTCTGCTGGCAGCGCTAACTCGTTTATAAATAACATAGCATTATAGGGTAATGCTTTTTAAATACCCTATACCGGTTCTACAATGCAATATTGCATAAAAACTAGTCGGTATTCCAGAACGGAGCACGTGATGACGAACGGCTGCGTGTCTCTAAAGGCGCCTACTTTCCACTGGGAGCCACAGCACTGCGGCGAGATTAAGGACTTCATCTGCGAACAGACGCGCTGCTACTACTACAACTACGGCTCCATCCCCGTGTCTTCCGCGCAGGGGTAATGACAGGTGAGATGCCAGCCGTCTCCGGAGGCCCGCTCCCCGACTAGCCGCGCGCTCCCTCTCTCACATGTTTAGCGGCTTTTATACACAGGTCCCGAGTTTCGAGTTCACGAATTTCATCAAACGGTATTCAACTTGTCCAAACGACGACATGATTAACTGCAATAACATTTGTGACACTAGTTTGCGATGTAGTCAGTGTGCTAACATTTTGGTCCAAGGTTATACCTTGGTCCCAGTTCGATGTTTGTTCGTAGCGCGCGGGCCGCGGGATCAGGCTTCTGCGCCAACCCAACCACCAAACAAGAGCCCTACACCCAGCAGACAACATTTGGCATCTATGACGTTTTTGTCTTAAACTATCACAATATTATTATTGATTGTCATGTTAACACACTTTCAAAATTTACAAAATCTTTTGGTGGGTGGGTGAAGGGGGCTTTGCTTGGTATCTCTTGTTTAAGTGATACTTTTATTTGTTTTATAAATAGCATATTGTAATTAACATACTTATTTATGTTTAAAAATACTAATACCAATAAGTAACACAATTGGCCTTACATTTATGATCAAGCACAATAATTTTGCAAACTTTGACAATTTCTTACTGATCGATATTTATAAAAGTTATTGTAAGTATTTGCCAATTTGCGTTTTACTAGCGGCTCTCTAACACGAGGGTCGGTATGTTCTGCCGGTAGGAAGCCGCTGTCGATGACGACGACGACGACCGCCCACCCCCTGACGTCGTCGTCGCCGCCGCCGCCGCGCTCCGAACACCTGCCGACACACTTCACCCTCAACGACCTCATCGGCAAACTGCGACCCACCTCTCTCGACGGCTTGCAGTCGCCACACATTAAGAAGCTCGGCATTCTGCCGTCGTCTCCTCAAATCGACTCGCACTACTCGCGTGCGTCCGACGCGCATGCGCTTGACCACGATCATGATCAGGAACAGAAGGAGGGGGTGACGCAGGGCCCTTACGACGACGACGAGGGTATGGCGGGTGACGACCCGGCCGCATACCTGAGCCACGAGGCGCACGCGTCGGTGGACGATGCTCCATCCACCGCCGAGCCGGATGCGACTGAGCACTCCGTCCACGCCAGCGGCATGCTGGCACCCCCCGCCTATTAGCGTCCGGCCGAGCGGTCCACTTTTATTTTTTCGTGACAATTAGGTAATGAGTCTACCAAAAGTATTATTTCAATAATTTGAGGCATTTATACGTACATATATTAAGATGTTTTACTTTAGACGCTTGCGTGTTGAGGGTGTACTGTACGCCTTGTTGTATTGATATCACGTAATGTAAATGAGATTTCTAGTATCGTAATATTTTCCAGCTTATACATGAATGATTATGGGGATTTCGAAGGTATATTATGGGGCAATATGATTTATTAAACTAGGTTGAAGGTGCTGGCGACTCGCCTGCGTGCGACTTGCCTCCGTCTTCGTAATGTCGAATATCACAAAATGAGTATTCCACGTATAGGTACCTACACTTCGCTAAGGTTAATAACGTAGAAGCATCAGATCTCCGTTATTTTTGATGATAAACCGTAAAATGTATTAATTTAATGTAAGAAAATTAAGTGAATATTGATTGTCTGGACATATCATTTGAAATACATAGTGGTATAAGATAGTGTTTATATACGTGACGTACCTAGTTAAGTATATTAAGTTGAAACTCAAGAATTTAAAGAATAGTGATGTAGCGAGGTTAATAAAGTTTATACTTAATAAGAAACAGATGTTTAATTTATTTACAACATACACTGATATAATTTATTCCTTATTTACAATACAAACCCAAATATCCTACCAGTCAAAAAATGATCAATAGCAGTGTGCAATTTTAATGTTTAAAAATAAAATTACTCACCATCCGTTGATGACTCCTTCCACGTTGAGCATAGGCACGATTTTGAACACGTATTTGGCTCGAAGGGCTGCAGCAGCAATTGAAGGACCTAGCAAGCAGTCCAAGGTGCCGTCCATCACCCAGGATGCGTTGCTTTCACCAGGATGAACTCGTGCAGTTAGGAATACGATCTCCCGATCCTGTTGACATAGCAATCTGTATTTATACCGTAGTTCTATTGAACATACATATGTTACTGAAAAATAAATGGTTTGTATGTGCCACTCAATGGGTTTGGCCAAAGGGTCAGTTTTACGTGCGAATTTTCAAGACAAAATGGACATGAAATAATGACGGTGAGCCATAGTTTGGGCATTTTAAGTTACCAATCGTAGGTGCCTTCCTATTGTATATCATGATAATATATAAAAATAAGTAAAAATACGTTAATGGACTAAAAGTAGAACTGTTATAGAAATTAATGACAAAGTGTCAATAATTTTTGTTCTTCATTTCAATAAATAGGCCCACTATTACAGAGTCTTCATAGTTCTAATAAACTTAAATTTTATGACTTTATAACTTATAGTTTGAATTACATAATAAGGAGATAATCTCGGAACGAAATGCAGTTTTCACATAATATTTATACATCTTGGATAACGACGGTACTCTTAAGTTGAAAGACTTCATTTGCGTACTCGTAATCGTTTTTCAACATTGTGGTAAGGCTGCGCTCCGTACCTATCTAAGGTAAAGTTAATTGATCGATAAAAATTAGCAAGAAATTCGAATTAAGATGCATGTCGCCAACACCAAGTATGTGCAGCATCTTGTTCCTTACTAAGTAGAAGAATTTAAAGCGTGCAGGTTCTAAAGTATTTTTATAGAGAAAAACAACATACCACTATAGGATTGGAAGGCGTGTCTTCGGCGGAAACCGTAAGCAACGGTACCTCGTTGTTGTTGAGGGAATAGCAGAGAGGTTCCGCGCGCAGGTACGATCCTGAAGGCATCTGCAGGCTCCACTGCCAAATCCTGGTCTGGCGAATTAAGTTAATATGCTAAGTGTTCTTTTCTTATAGCTTTAGAATATAAAAAGATCAAAATAAATTTGCGAAGAAATATAGAAAAGTCACTATTCATAGAAAAAATACTACGTTATTGATTACAAAATTTCAAAACTTCTGAAGAATTTTTTTATGATCATTCTCAGAGATGTTATCCAGCAAATAAAATCTATAAGTGAAATGAAAGTCATTTTCTGAATAGCTTCAGACATTTATAGTGAAAAAGCTTGTTTTTATTCGTCCTTGATCGTTAACTCAACAGTCTATTGCCAGTCATTATTTTTAAATGCTTTTAGCACTTCATTTCCTTTATTCGAGCTTTATAGCCTGAACATCCAATTTGCGTGTGTACTAAGATCCTTAAATATAAAGATTTTAAACGTTTTAGTCCTTAAACAAAGGACATAGACATGAGGAGCCTTTCTCATGGACGCTTCGAACATAATTGATTTTTTTCAAATCTCCGTCGTTAAATGTTTTTGAATGTTACTGTAGGTGGCCTCCACCCGCCATACTTGGAACCAGTCTGAGATAGCGTCGAGCATAGTTGTAATATTTCGCTTGCAGCTTTTTAGTACAGGATCGTCATCCTGAGTCATACAAGCAATATTGTCGGCGTAGATAGCCATCATGTCACCATCGTCTATAGTTGGCATATCTAATGTATAGGTGCCACATAGGATTTGCCCAAGTGCTGATCCTTGAGGTACACCAGCAATTATAGGAAACCAGAAAGCTAGTGTTTTATTTTAACACGAAATAATTTGTACCTTTTATTGAGTATGGCAAGTTCTGCTTTGATTTTACAAAGCCAGTCTATGTTTGTATTGAATATCTCAGAATGCTGCAGAGCAGTATTTTTACTTCTGAAGCATTGTCTGATAGTACGGTAAGCGCAGCATATGACTTAAAATTACAAAACAAAATTAATTTTTAGTCGTAATGACACGAGTGTGAAATAAATGATTTAATGTTAATATTGTAACAATAAGTAATGCAAAGGCTCACCATCATCATAGAATATGTGAACGGGAAGTGGTATGCGATGTAGACAACATCGTTTGTATGTGGGAAGTCGATGTTGAAGGTGACAGTCAGGTAGCATTTGTTGTGGTTCTTCTGGTTTGCATAGTGGTAGCTGTTTCGATAGTAGCAGATGTCGGACCCAGCCCGCACCCAACCTGGCAACAGGTGCTGTCTATTATAAATCAGAGATAACTCGTGTTAAACTGTTATTGGATTTTAGAGGCAATTAGGATTGAAGATATATGCTTGTTTAATTTCCCTATTTAAGACAAATAATTTAGGGGTTTCTTCCAGACTGGCTGATCACCCAACTTAATTACAACGGTAATTTGTATAACCATGCTATAAGTTTATCGAGAACTTATAAAAATATGAAGGTGGTGAAACCGGTCCTCAATTTAAAAGATATTTCATATTTATTTCATCTTTTGTGAAGTCACTGAATTTCTGCTCTTCCAGCTAGACTATAGAGTACTCGGTATTTTCTTCCAACTATATCAGAACATCAAAAACATAATGCAATTGAATGTTTTTAACTTAGTTTCATTTATATTCTCTCAAAAAAGAAACAGCTTAACAACAAACGGACAAAGAAATCAGAAAATTTTAAGAGTAGCTTTTTATTAAAATTAAGCAACCTAATATTTAATTATACAAAAGAAAAACCATTTAAGTAATAGTACCTACCTGGTCTACCCAAAACTGCTTCCTTCACTGAATACATGACTGGCTTCATACCAAAGTTGAATTGACTGTCAGACTTTTCACAGTTGACGATATTGAATATGTAAGGGCGTCCCTGCTGCATGTTGCGGACCTCAAAGTAGAACCACTGATGACGCTTCGTCGAGTTAACGTCTGGCATTAGAATCAGCTCGTACTCTCTCGGACCTACCTGAAGTTACTCATTTTGTAGATATGAATCTTATTTGTAATATGGATAATATGGATAAAATATTATGAAATACCAAAAAGACAACATACTGAATACGAAGAACTATGATTAATAGTATATTCTGTTTCTTTAGTATTCTTAGCGTCTCTAGCTCATCTACTCTAGTCATTACCTGAATAACTTTTCTCAGATTTCCAGACTCGAACCTTGACTCAAATGCAAGTCTTGAAGAGAAAGTGTTGACCTTGGTAATTTCCAGTTCGTCTGTGTTAGTCAAGCCTATACTTTCTGAGCTAAAACTAAAAGTAAATTAATCAATTAGGTTGACATATTTAGTCATAGAAATTCAGTGTAGTGTACTAATCAAAATCAATATGTATGGTCAAAATTGAACTCAACTGGATTTCACTAACATTCTTATTGACATATTGACAGAATTGCCATTACAAAAAAATATCAGTATTGGTACTACTGTTAATTTCGTTTAAATGTTACCTTTTTTGAGCTCCAGTGTCAGTATTACCAGAAGAAGCGCTGCAAAGCTGATCTAAATCATAAACCGTTTCATTCATGTATGCTTCTGGGTTGATTGCTTTGTCTACACAGGACAGTAGTTTCATCCTGGAAAAGAAGAATGTTACATATTCATACAAAAAGTTTATTTTCTTAATCGTATTCTATTCTCATTTCACTCAAGGAACTTCATGAATAATTCTGACGTCATATTTTTTTTAATAGATAACAGTTTGAAAAATATAGGATACTATAGTATGAACATTTCAAACACGATACTAATGCCAGTCACGATTACATAGACGGTGGTGTCGTAAAAGACAAAGTGGAATAAAATATAAAGCACCTACCTGCACGCACTTTGCTCCATCTTGTTCAAGGGCTCAGGATGATTTAGACCCTGGCCTCCCATCATGTCAGGGTAGGCTACCTTGACGAAGGGTATCACGCTTTTCACCCGACTCGATATCGTGCAGTACACACTTGCAAATGTGGTGTACTTAGAAATGTCTTTATGTATCTTTAACGATGAACATGACGTAGTAGCTGTTTGTGTAAAAAACAAAATTACTTGTTATTTTGGTTATTTTTTGGGACTAGCCACACCGATTGAGGAGGGATTGGGGGAGGAGAAGGCCTAATCCTTCCCCTCCCCCAATCCCTAAATTTCCAAATCCCTAATCCCTAAAAGGTCGGCAACGCACTCGTTACTCCTCCGTTGCGAGTGTCCATGGGCGGCGCTGATTGCTTACCACCAGGTAATCCGTATGCTCGTTAGCCGATCTATTACATAAAAAAACCGATTGATATTAAAGTAGCAAACCAAAATTAAGATTCAATTAGTTTCTGTATAGTTCCATAAATACTTATCAAAACGTACGAGGCCTAAATTCAAATTCTGAGCCTGGTTCTGCTATACAAGAATGAAAAAATATCCTTGTATCTGTCGCCTCTTCGATAATTCATAATAAGTCAACTTTTTTGTACTTGATAAGATGATCACCGCTTATCTTATCAAGCCACGTCGCTGATGATGTTAAAAATATATTTTTGTTTTGGAATTATTGTTGCAAAATGATCGTCCAAAGCGTGTTATGAAACAAGTTTTAAAGTTTAAAGAAAAAATTTGTTTAATAATCTAGTTTAATTTTTAGTCTAAGGATACTCACAAGCACTTTCATGAACTTTATGATATTGTAAAAATGACGACGTCTGCGAAGGTCCCATGACATTCTCGTAATCAGTATTGCCCAAAACGGCGGTTAATGATAAATTTAAGTTGGATGGGACTGCCTTATTTCCACTGGATTGTGAGAATAGAAAATCTTCTAAAATCGAACCTCGGGAGTTTGATC